ATTAACCTGGCCATATTATATAAACAATATTTAATACTCCAAGAATTAGAGGCTTATAAAATTTTAAATTGAAAGAGACCTAGCAATCACCTAGCTAAAACTCTTTTCAAAAGAATAACTTCCTGTAAAATCTAGGCTTCTCCAAAGACAAATCTGTACTCAGATGTGTCTCATGTAAGCTTAGATGTGGGTGGAGCCCCTTTCCGTTTGCTAGAGATGTGAGTAACTTTACTAATCCAAGCCCATGCCCATGACTTTCTGATTGTGTGCTTCATACTATGCAAGCCTCTAACAAAAGAAATTTTTTCCTGCGCACATTTGGACATGCTGGGTTTTAGTATTATAGACATTAAATTTCTAATTGGATCAGGGACTGGTTTTCAACCAAAAAAGACTTTATGAGTAGCCAACTCCCTCTGAGTGCTTGTTCCCATTTGTCTTGGGGAACTTTGAATTTCCTGGTGGAGATCCCATTCTTAGAAAGGCAAAATACTAGGTTACCTCAGAAGAAACTCAGTATAGCTCAGGGTGTATCCTGAACACACACTGGGCTGTTATTTCAGTTCTACAGAACATCCCAAGTCATGGAAACAGTTACCACATTTCTTAATCCATTCGTCAGTGCTGGGACATCTTGGCGTTTCCATAACTTGGCTATTGTGAGGATGCAGGGAAAAAGGAACCTTTTACACTGTTGGTGGGAATGTAGACTGAACCACTCTGGAAAAATTGGAGGCTACTTAAAAAGATGGACATCGATCTACCATTTGATCCAGCAATACCACTCTTGGGGATATACCCAAAAGACTGTTACTCCAGAGGCACCTGCACATCCATGTTTATTGCGCACTTCACAATAGCACTACTGAAGAGTGGAGTTCTTTAAACAGTTTGGACTCTGCCTTGCCCTTAAAGAGCTTTCAAAGGTAATTATGTTTACTCTTCTCAAGTCCTAATGTGCAGAGATTTAATACTTATATAAATCTGAGAGTTATTTCTCAGATTTCTGAGAAATAATTAAAAAAATCTGAGAAATTCTTCAGATTTCTCTTTGAAACAATTCAAAGTCAAATAAATTCATTAACATTTTGTTACCTAAGATCAAAGTTACCACAGCCAGTGCATTAAACCTGGCCATATTATATATAAAACAATATTTTTAATACTCCAAGAATTAGAGGCTTAGAAAATTTTTTAAATTGAAAGAGGACCTAGCAAATCACCTAGCTAAAACTTTTTTCAAAAGAATAACTTCCTGTAAAAATCTAGGCTTCTCCAAAGACAAATCTGTACTCAGATTGTCTCATTGTACATTGGGTGGGAGCCCCTTTCCGTTGCTAGAGAGTGTGAGTAACTTTACTAATCCAAGCCATGCCCATGACCCTTTCTGATTGTGTGCTTCATACTATGCATGCTTAGACAAAAGAAATTTTCTGTCCTTGACATGCTGGGTTTAGTATTATAGACATTAAATTTTCTAATTGGATCAGGGACTGGTTTTCAACCAAAAAAACTTTATGAGTAGCCAACTCCCTCTGAAGTGGCTTGTTCCCACTTTGTCTAGTGGGGGAACTTTGAATTTCCTGGTGGAGATCCCATTCTTAGAAAGGCAAATACTAGGTTACCCAGAAGATAACTCAGTATAGCTCAGGTGTATCCTGAACAACACTGGGCTGTTATTTCAGTTCTACAGAACATCCCAGTCATGGAAACAGTTAATGGTGACAGCAAGGCAGCTGTAATGACTTTGATTTTTCTGAATATCTTTATAAGAATGCCAATGAAAAGGGGTAAGCTATGTGTCTCTTCCTTATAAAAACAGCCCAGCCCTCTCATGCTGAGCTAGCTGTAATTGCCTTCTATTCAGCCATACAAGTTGTGCCCCTAGAATTCCAATAGCCTTTCTTGTTTTCATCAGCCCAAATTGAGCTCCATGGAATGGGTCTCCATGGGATGATCCTCAGTTTCATCAATAGTACCTTACCAGAAAGTTATTTTCCTATGAGCTAGACAATTTCAGTAAGCCTGTATCCTTCTTAAAGGATCCCCATATCTAGTCACCTCCCTATAAGCAGAGCATTAGGACTACGACTAGCTTGTGCTGCTTATAAGTTCCATAACCATTTTTAGTGACTTGGTCACACTATCAGCTTATCCTGAGCTTGTCATCAATTAAACAACTTGTACATTTTTTTCATGTAAGTCAGTATCATATCTATCCTTACACAATAAATTTTTAAAATCTAAATGCTAATCTGTACCTTATGTCACATTTATCTACTGGACTTCAACGCTTTCACGTTTTTGTTTCTGTTATGCCTGCTATAATATATTCCTCCTAGTTCAGTATAGACTATGAATTGAGAAGCATAGATGTTTGTTTTTGTTTTTACATTTTCATTTTATTATTTTTTTCTTTCTTTGATCATTTTTATATTTACTTACATGTTATATACATTGTTTGGGCCACCTCCCCTCTATTTTTTTGTTCAAGTTACTAATGAAAACACTGAACAGAATATAATCAAGGAAAGAAATGAATGATATAGCACCAGAAACTCCCCTCTGTCCTCTTTTGACCTCGTTAGGACATTGGAGTAAAGTAGTTAAAGCAATTACAAATGCACCCACATGAATCCAGTCATTTTTCTTTTGTTACAAAAATATAGAAAAATTTATAGCCATGACATATAGCCAAATTTTCTTATAAATAATACTTCAGGATGACAGAGTCCTTTTAGAAGTAACCTTGGTTTTCCACTTCATTTCCAAAAGCTTACTGGTGCCAAGATGGCCAAGTGGACAGAGTAGTCACTTTTTAATATCTTTTAAATATCTTTTAAATGCCCTTACTTTGGTCAAATAGGGTCAATCTCAATCTATTTTAATGTAGCTATTACAGCTATAGATGCTTTTTAGGAAAAAAAAGTAGATGCTATCAAATTAGGGATGAGATAATAAGGAGGAAACTCCTGATATTTGTTTTTTTACTAGGTAGGTGCTCTTATCAATTGAGCCACTCCACCAGCCCATTTCTTGTGATGAGTTTTTTTGAGATAGATTCTCAAACTGCCATCTTCATGGTCATCTAGGATTACAGGAGTGAGCCACTGGGTGCCCTTCACATATTTCTTACGCAAAATTTTGCCAAATTGAGAATCTATAAGGAAAATTACATGCAAGTAAATATGGCAAATGGATTAAGGAATTAAAGCCACAAATAATCTTTCGATACAGTAGATACTAGATACTGGACTTAACAATTTATTAGAACTCGAAATGAAACTTGGCAAAGGTGCAAGCCTCTCTACATTTCTTGTAGGAAACAAACAACAAAGAAATGTGTGTGTGTGTGTGTGTGTGTAATAAATTATCCCCATCTCCTGGTAATATATATCTAAGAATACATATGTTCATTCTATTTTGTGTAATATACATGAACATATATGTACAGTCATGCATTGCAGCCATGCATCCTTAATGAAGGAGGTATGGTGTGAAAAAGTTGTTAGGCATGGAGTAGACTGACACAAACTAAGGCAGGTATACCCTCACTTCTCCACTAAGTGATAAAATCTTACGGAACCACAATCATAGATGAGTCCACCATTGACTGAAACATTAGTATGTATTGCAAGATTATGTATGGTTTAATAGTTCAGATACATAAAATACAAATTAATCATGATCTTTCTGTGGAACCAGTCATAAACAAAGCACCTGACTCAAAAAAATCAAATTTGTATTGGGTGGTTATCTAGCTTACATGTTCACTTCACTGTGTTCCTGCAAAACATTTGGGATTTTTTTTTTCAATCAAAATAGTTTATCACTTCATGTCAAATCACATCTTATGTAAGAAGTGAAGGATAAAAATCTGCTTGTTTCTAAAATAAGCGAGTCATTGTATCTTCAAATAGTATTGATGTAAAAGGAGCATAAAGGAGCTGTATGGAAGAGACAATTTTACACTGAGATGATATGTACATCCTACCTTCCAGTAAATATGCATCAGGTAGCAGTGTAGGTGATATAATCTGGTTTGTAAGACAGTTTACTACTCCTTAGTGTTAAATACAGATAGACTGTCATAAGGAAATTGGTGCCAGCCAAAAAACAGATAATCAATTTCCAAAAGAGATGAGCATAAGTTTTTGAGGTCATGCTGTGACCAACAATTTTCTTTTGCTTGTTAGGCAGGCACTTTCCCTCTTGAACCATGCTTTCAGCCCTTTTTGCTTTAGTTTATTTTTCAGATAAGGTCTCATGTTTTTTGCTTGGGGCTGGCTTGGGCAGCAGTCCTCCTACCTTTGCCTCCTGGGTAGTTGGGATTACAGGTGTATGCCACCACACCCAGCCTGTTTTTTGAGTTAGTTTTACTATTTTGTCTGGGCTGGCCTCAAACCATAACCCTCCTATTTCTGCCTCCTGAGTATCTGGGTTTACAGTGTGAGCCACAATTCCCAGACTCTTTCTTTTGATAAATCTAAAAAAATTAATGCAGATGTATTAATTAACTTTGCTTGATGATGCTTATCATCAAAACCATATAACTATTAGAGAGGACCAAGTATTTTTAACCATATCACATGTTTTAAAAATGTACCTACCAATTTTCATTGTATTTTTGTGTAAAGAGTTTAGTGACTCCCTAATTGTAAACACAGATTCTTCTTCATCAATTCAATCCCAATCTCTGACTTTTGTGTGTGCTCAGAGCTATGGTGATACAGAAACAGGAACTGCTGTCAGGAAAACAATCCTGCTGGAATTACGGAAAATTATCCTTATTTGAAAAAGTATTTGGGGCCATTTGTTTAGGACTGCCAAATATTTGTGACACATGGTTACTCTAGCAAGCCTTCCTGAGTGCAGTTTGAATTTTGTTTACAATGTTAAAATCTTAATTATCAGTCAGTTTCTTCACCTTGACAATTTGGGGGAGTATATCAATATTATAAATAAAATCTGTAGAAGATAATTGAGGAAAGGCAAGTTACCTGGGTTTGTAGAGGCAATAATATAGGTGTTTTGTTTGAACTCTTTTGGCTTGAATGAATATTCTCATCCAAGGGTCAAAATACAGTACAGATGTATAGGCTCTCAGTGACCATTTCTCTGGAAAACTGAAATACAAAATACCAAAGACCATAAGGTAGAAGATACGACAATGACTTCTCTTTGAGAATAAAAGACAATGTGACAGTTTACTAATGGACACTTCAGGAAATTTTCTTCTAAAACCACTGGTACCACAAACACCAGAAAATTTTGCAGCACTCACTGCATTAAGCAGGCCTCTAAACACAAAGGCCTACATGAACAGCCTACACTTTGGTTAGAACTGAACTTCTGTTGGCAGCAAACCAACTTAAGTAGACATAACAGTGATAGAAAGTATACTTCCCATTAAAAAAGCTGACCAGAAGAACAAAATCAAGTCAAATAAACAAAACAATCCCCTGTTCAAATATGACTGAAAGAACCTAGGTCACCCAAATAAAAGGCATTCCTATTAAGTTATTATAAACAGAGAAATACAACAATATGTTTCAATTGTTCTTAGAATTCTGAACAAGACACAGGAAACTTCACTCTGTAAGTACTGTAATGTTAAAATGTTTACAGCCTGGTGAGAGAAGAAGTATGAAAACATAATAAGTGAAAGCGTAGACAAAAGAAAAATAAAGGATGGAAAGACAACAAGGTGGGCACAGAAATAATGTAAGTAGAGTATGAAGAAAATGAACCTTGTAAATGCATGTAGTTGGGCAGTCCCTAACAACTCATAGGGACTTTCTACATTAAACCCCATTTATGAACTGTAAGTCTTCTCCAAATAGATAAGGAATAAAGAAAAAACAAAACAAAACAAGTGCATCCAGAGTTAAGAGGTAGAGCTCTCCACTTCTAGATCACAGAAAAGGTGTTGGACCTTGAGGTTAAATAAGACAGTGGGGAAAGAGTAAACCCATCGTTTTCACAATTCTTCTGCAGTTCAGAGGAAGATAAAGGCGATGGAGGGGAGCTGTAAAGCCCATCTAAGGAGAACTGCTCAAGAAGATCACACCATTGCCAGGTAGTAAATACAAAGCACAGAATTCCAGGAATTTTCATAAATGAAGATGAAACCATAAGAAATCCAAGGATTTCCTGGTCAGATATAAATTCCTTCAGGCACTCTTTGAAGCTCAAGAAAAGGTCAGGAATTTCCAAGGTTTAAAAAGAAATTATTTAAAAGTAAGCCTGGAGTGGAATTTTCCCAACATAAATTATATGAAAGTGTCTAGCTCATGGCTATTATCCCATTAATGCTAATGTACTTTTAATGTAACCAGAGAACCTGTCTGCATTAGGTGTTGCACTACAATAATCTGGTTTCTTTCAGAAGCTTTACAATCAGGTGTCTCTGAACTGAAAGAAAAAAAAAGTTTTCTTGGGGTTCTAGAAACATTCCAAGGACTTCTACCATTGTTCAGATCTTTTCTGGATCTCTTGATTTGAAATTGCCAGGAGGAGCTCGTAGCTCCTTCTTTCAGCACTCCTCACAGTTGACACGTCTCTACCATAAAAGTTAAAAGTAATTTACAGTAAGTGTGAAGACTTGAGAAATGTAGTGAGAGGTCAAACTGGCTAAAGGAATTCTGGTATAAACACACACACACACACACACACACACACTTTATATCTGTGTGTATATGTATGACTAATAATATGGCTACTTTATGATAGTTTGATTTATTTGTATATTCAATAAATACTTATAGATAAATATAGCATGCATGCCTGGAGTCCTCAAGACCTCCCCTATGTTAGAAGACTCATTGGAAAGATTCATGGGCCTTGTCATATAATTGTACTCCTGGCTAAGATTTATTTGTTTATGTATTTATTTTTGGTAGTACTGGAGTTTGAATTTGAGAGCCTCATTCTTGCTATGCAGGCATTCTACCACTTGAGCCATGCCCCAAGCCCTTTTTTGCTTTAATTGTTTTTCAGATAGAGTTTCACACTCTTGCACAAGGATAGACTCAGTCTGTGATCGTCCTACTTATGGTCTCCCATGTAGCTGAGATTACAGGTATGAACCACCATGCCTGATTTATTTGTTGAGATATGATCTTACCAACTTTTGCCCGGGCTGGCCTCAAACTAGAATACTCCCAAAGTCTACCTCCCAAGTAGATGTGATTACAGGCTAACATTAATAATAGAGTAGTAACAAGGATACACACAGGAACACAAGAGGAAAACATGGAGGAATGCATCTGCCAGCTTTCTGATGTTCTTGCTCTCGTAAACGTTTGCACAGAGGACAATCTACCCCAGCTATGAAAGTGCAGCAACATATGCATATGGTATTTGTCTAGAAAAGCTCCTTAGAGACTCAGTATCCAAGATGGTTTTTGTTGTTTATAGTGGTACTGGTGTTTGAAATCACAGCCTGTGCTTACTAGGCAAGCACTCTATCACTTGAGCCATACCACCAGCCATTTTTGTTTTGACTTATTTTTCAGATAGGGTCTTGTACTTTCATCCAGGGATACCCTTGGATTCTGAAATCCTTGTTCTCACACAGTTGAGTTTAGAGATGTGTCCACCATGCCTAGCCTTTTTGTTTTTTTTTTTTTGATTAGGGTCTAACACTTTTCTCCAGGCTAGCCTCGAACTGCACTTCTGCTATCTCACCCAGCCCAGCATCCAGAAACTTTAATGGACCTGTCACATAGGCACCTTCTGCCTAACATGTATCAAAATTCCAGACTCCCAGAAAAAAATACGTTTTCAGTAAAAGTCATTGTTTGCATAGTCTACGTATAGCAAGCTACACTTAACCATTAGGAAAAGTTGTACATCAGTGTTGGGAACTATTAATCACTCAAGTTCCCCAAAGCCAGACATAGGTCAACCTTGCAAACAAGCCCTTCCAAGGATAGACAACTGCTATACTAACCATTTTCTATTCACATGCCAACTCTTGCAAGTTCCTGTTCATTAGTGACAAGTACAATGATAACACCTCTAATGTGTGAAGTCTGTGATATAATGAAAGCAAAGAAGGTTAAATTTAAAAACTGTATCTGAAATGAGCCACCTGTTGTAAGTTTCAGACTTCAATATAGGACGAATAAGATCATTCATGATCTGACCCCTACTTAACCCTCTGGTATCATCTTGCCAGCCCCAGTTTAGGCATTTAGGACTGTGCTCATTTCCCACACATGGGGTAATTTATCCCCAAGCCATGGCACATACAATTTTTTGATCACTCTAGATTAGTGCCTTTCCATCCTTCCAGATGGAACCCTGAGATCTTACTTCTTGTTGAAGCCTTCCCTCACCTCCCAAGACTGGCAAAGTCCTTTCCTCTGTGCTCTCCTCCTGCTGTACCTCCCATCACAGCACTTGCCACTCTGCTTATCTGTTGCCTCAGCAGGCTGTAAGCTCCATAAGGCTAGCTTCCTCCATGACAAATATTTGTTGAAAGAATACAATTATTCAGAACCTTCCTGGTTTACTATAGAATGACTAGTAGGGGATTCCTTATATAAGAAGGACTTTTTAAATGAAAGATAATCTTTAGCAGTGATGCTATCTATCAGTACTTATACATAAACTCATTCACTTGGGAAACTGACACACAAATATGTCCAGTAGTCAGGGTACCCTCAGAAGATGAAAGAAAAAAAATATTGTTATTCTCTGTTCACAAAGAACTGCTTCAGCTATATTCTTAAAGGATTTTTCTTGTCTCATTTTTGCCTTTGTCTTTCTATCTTCTTATGCCAGAAGTGTCCATATCTCTATCACATGTATCATTCTCTTTCACTTTCTTTTTAATTGGCTACAATAAGAAACTGAAGAACGAGAAAGCAAACCTCCTACGTGCACATGACAGATGAGCTGGGAGGAAAGAATATTTTAAGGCAGAAGCTAGCTTATTATAAAGAACAAAATAGGAGGAGACAGAGTAGAATAAGTGTTATTGTCCCCTGCTCAGCCTTGGGAATTCTTAAAAGTTAATTTCTAATTTAGTTTTTAGATGTGGCCTCTATGTGGTCTCTTCCTTCTTCCAACCTGTCCACATTATTCTGCTGCTGTCTTAATTGTTGTTCCATGCTTATCATGGGTGGACTGGTGTGATGTGGTCACCAAACAATGTTAGGAGCAGGAAAAGGGACAGAAGGTGATTCTCTGTGACCAAGGTCTCTATCTACTTATTCTGATTCTCTGTGGCTGGTGTCTGAGAACATAAGGTCTTTTAAACTATCCAGACAATTCCTTTAACTCTCAGGTCTGGAAATCACTACCTGGTAGACTTAGTGAACAGGTGGTGTATAAAGCAGGTGGCTGAAAGAGACGAACAGATTCATAGGTGTTTAGAAATAGGAGAGCAGCTGAGAAATACAGCCTCTATATTTATCCACACTGGGTACTCAGGCAACAGTTTTCCATTCAGCTCAATGACTGAGCTACACTTATGCTATGACTTGATTGCCCCCAGTAAAACTCATTAATTTTTTGGTGATGCTGGGGTTTGAACTCAGGACTTTGCATTTGCTCAAGTGCTTTACCACTTGAACCATGCTTCCAGCCCCTTTTGCTCTGGATATTTTGCAAACAGAATCTCACTTTTTGCCCAGACAGGCCTGGACTTATTTTAAGTTTCCTTGCAATTGCTGGAATGACAGATGCATCACCACCACACCCAGCTTTTTCCCATTGAGATGGGGTCTTTCAAACTTTTTTGTGTAGGCTGGCCTGAAACTGTGATCTCCCCGATTTCCCAAGTAGCTAGGATTACAGGCTTGAGTCATTGTATTAAGAAGTGGGACACAGCAGAAACTGTAAGACATTGACATAGTCATAGATTAATGGTTTAGTGGGTTAATGAGCTATCTCAAGGGCAGGTGTGTCATAAAAGCCCATGTACTTCTGTTTTTATACGTGCTTCTTTTTGTGTGCTACTGCGGGACTTGGCAGAGAATCTCCAACAGAAGGAAAACTTTCACCAGATATAGGTTCTTGATCTTCAGCCTCCCAGCCTCCAGAACCATAAACCGAATAATCCTTTATTAATTATCTGGTCTCAGATATTTTATTATGACAACAGAAAACAGACTAA